GTTTTAAATACGGTATTTAACTATGTTGTAAACCCTACACGTCTAATTTGCCACTTTTCACTAGCAGGCATCTCCAGTGTTTCCTGTAACACAGTAAACAAACTTCATTCTTTCCACTTGCACTATCCTATGAACCCTTTGTTCCAACCTTTGCATCTTATGCATGTTTGGCCAGTAGTGCATTGGTCATATGCATATTGTAGTGGTATCCCATGGGGAAATATGAGATCTGAGTTAAAAGTTTTAATGGGTAGTGTCACCATGAAAAATAGGTTATGCATTGTGGTAACATTTTAATTTTTAGTTTGCTTTTTAAAAAATGCACCTATGCACTTTAATTTTTTGGTAGTGTTGGGGTGATATCCAGGAAAAGTGCAAGCAGCAAGGATTTCTGTGGTTGATACAAGTATATTTTATTGGACCAACTATATAATTGGGAGGGACGTAAATGAGTTTTCAAGTGCCACTGTACTCTTCCTCTGGTTTTTCGGAAATTTAATTTTTCTTTTGAAAAGTTCAGTTTCTCAGAAACCTGAGGAAGAGTATGGTGGTACCCAAAAGCTCACTGATGTCCCTTCCAACCATATAGTTGATGAAATAAAAGTAATCACCCCAAAAATGCCTGCTTCTCACTTAAATTTTTTACAATATGGTTCATGAATAATAGTTTTGTGGCCTCCTATGTAAACATTAGTTCAAATGACTTGCTCAAAATCATGTAGGAAGTCCATGGAAGGTTGGTGGGGGAGGGGTGCGGGGATTCGTTCTCTGGTGTCTCAATAAGACTTTTTAAATGGGTGATAGAGAAGGGATGCCTCATGAGATCTTATAATTTGAAGATCATCTGAGTGTCTTTTAGTGACCTATAGATCTGGAGTAGCCCATTTCAGTGAGAGTGTAGCTAAATAAGAAGACATGGCCATGCTGTCTGTTGGAAAGATTAAGATAGATGGGTGAAACTTGGGTTCTGTTCCTAGATCTTCTGAAAGTGATCTTGGCAACCTCTCAGATTCTTTGTTCTATTGTGTGACTCTGCTTCTTGAAGCTTTAATAAGTAGTAGCATCAGTGAATTGCATAATTACTGCATTGTTCCCATTACAAGTAAAAAGAACTACATTTGGACCCCATGTACACTGACCCCACATTTTTAGGTTAAAAAGCCGCTTCTTAGAGAGAGACTTTTTTTCTCTATCTGTAGATATCAATTTGTAAATTTTTTGAACTGCTGTTGTCCTTACAGAATTGCACATGTGAATCTACTAACATGGGAAAAGATTAAAAAAGGTTAAATGAACTAAAATACTAAAATGAAAACTGCACTGAAAAACGTTTACTTGTCATTTTTATTGCAGTATTTTTGTGCATGCAAATTCAGAAGTCAGGATTGTCAGGGGCCTGATTATAGGCTGATCCTGTGTATAAATCAAGAGTGATTTAATCATTTTTAATGGCTCTTCTGAAACGGGTGGAAAAAAGGTTGATTTGCCAGAACAAGATCATAATTACTCTGTGGAAGTGGTAAACTTTTTGACCTCATGGTCTCCTGGCTTTCGTCTCGGCAAATGGAATGAGCGCTTTTCTTATGGGTTTGTGTGGCCATGCTAATCTGCCTACCTTCTGTATAAGGAACCATATGTTTTTAGAGGATCTTTTGAGCAGCATGTCCACAAGACTGATTTGGGAACTCTTGGTATAAAAGATCTTAACTCGGCGAAGGTTCAATTTGGGGACCTGGTTAGATGATCTTTGAAGTCCCTGCTAACCTCTAGTTTTATGTGTGTGAGGATGATGAAGGCTTTTTGTGTAGAAAAAAATGTGGAAACTTTGTGTAGTTCTTGCCAAAATGTAAATTAATTTTTATTTTATATTTTTCCAGGAACATCTGTGATTAGTTTCCACATTAAACTGAACTATAGTTAATATTATACAAGATGGCGATTTTAAATTAAGGCAACGTAGTAAATGCTTCTCCAAATAATACATTGTTGCATTTTCAGATGAGAGGAAATGTGAATGGAAATCCGGTATTATTCAAGAACAGGGTTGATACCAAACTAAAAATACTTGTAATAAACAGGAAAAAAGAGGAAGTTTTTTAGCAGCTACAATTATTGGCACTTCAGAACCAGATTTCAACAACAACTTAAAAGGGATTTTGAGAGACTCTAAGGAACTCAAGGAAAGACTGTAGAAATAGATTTAAGGTGGGGGTCAATAACCATTGCTGGCACACAGTGACAGGGGCATCTTCTCTGCCCTACGCTGTACATTCCTGTGGGGCAGTGCAGAGAGGGGCACTGTGACCAGGTTTCGAGCAATATCCCATCATTCTTAAATGTTATTGACCCCTAATTTAATAGGAGCAAACTAATATAAATAAAAGCTCAGTAGCCAGGAAGTTACCTAGGACAATCCTTACTAAATGCATGGGAAGGGAAGGCCTAGCAGGGTAGCAAAGAAAAGTTTAGGTTGTGAATTCTGTTCTTCTATCTTTGATATGATGAAATGGTGAGCTGTGATCATTGGACCCTACTGTATTATGGTGAGAGAAACTGGACTTTATAAGGCCTTTAGAGTTCACTGCAAGGAGACTAAAGATTCTTTACTCTATCCAGGTAGTTATGCAGCCCATCACTTTAGCCGCAGCAGATGCAAGGGAAAATGCAGGAAATCAGCCGATGTTTCTGAGTCTGGCTTCTGAATTTCCAAATACACCTAGACTGAGTACTTGGTGGTTCACAACTCAATTGTGGCTGCTGAAACAGTAAAGAGAATAGCCAGCTTTGATCTTAGTTTTGGAGAGCGATTTAGTTCTCTTGCATCCAAATGTCAGGGATCATTGCAGTGTAGATAATTGGTATTACCTCCTAGGGCTATAAGATTCACTTCAAAGAGCTTCCTCCGGAATGGAGGAAACAGTTGAGTTCAGCAATACCAGAAGCAGAAACTACCATTGCACTCGTCCAGCAAAGTAAAAAAAGGGATGGGTTTGTGCCAGATATTTCCTGATTGACACCCTCCACCACATACGGAAGACATGAGAGAAACTCGCCACCTTAGTCATTAACCTATGGTCTTTAATTTGGTTAAGGCATGTTCAAAATGTCATGTATCTTCAGGGAAAATCTTACATTTTTTTTTCTTGGTCATTGGCTAGCTGATCAGACCCAAATTATTCTGCTACTGGGATATTTAGGTTGGTCTCACAAATCTTGTCCCTATCTTGAGGTTTTGTATGAGTCTTTGCAAACTTGCAAGCGCCTTACTCCTGTACAAATATCTGCATGTGGTGTACACTGGACTTAGTTTTCAAATTTACACTAAGCTTATCAAACTTTGTTATGTAAATCAGTTTTAAAAACATGCCATTTGTTTTGTGGCTGCCACTTTTATGGCTTTGTAAAATGGCAGTGATTCTCCTCAAACTTTAAAAGGAAGCTACGCCTTATTTTGCGCAATCCGGTGTTTTGCAAGCCTATAATGCACAAAGCATTTATAACCCTCATTGCAAGTTGTGAAGCACTATGCTTATCTGAAGACTTCAGAAGTTTGAAATGTTTCTGCTCCCTCAAGTACATTCTGACTAAAACAAAGCATGTCTTCCCTTTCTCATATTGTGTTTTTTGGGGGATGGTTTGCCAGGCTTAAGAAAAGCATTTGCTTGATACAATATTCATTCTTTAACAAGAACCATTTAAAATATGGACATTTGGTTTACTTTTTTTTTCCCCACCAACTTTTTTTTTTAAGTGTATTTAACTTTGTCTTCCTGAAGTAGAGATCAAGTAAAAGGTAGTATGATCAGATCTTTCCAAGGATTTTTCACTTCATTCCTACGCTCTTTTAAGGAGCCTTCAAGCAATTTAGTTTTAGGAGTGTCAGTTTGCAGTGGCTGTGGTTGTTTTGTAGACCTTGCAAACCTCTGCCTCATTGTCCTTGCTGTAGAAGAGCAGAGTACAACAGCAAAACCACAATAGATCCTCTTTTTGAGAGAGAGTAATAACAGCAGTTCCTCTGTGTTAGTTTCTTCTTGGGTATATTTAAGTTTCCCCATCTCCTGCTTGCAACCTACGTTCTGACTATGCCATGGTATTATTCATTTCTAAACTCCAGAGAGATAATTTTGTGTGATGCTTCGATGAGAGAGACAGTGACCCTATGTTGAAGTGTATGTATTTTGACTAGAAAAGAAAGGTGGACAGGGGGAAGGGGGCAGGAAATAACAATGAGGACTAAACTACATTTTATATAATGAGCAAGTTACACAAGTTCTGACCGTTGACTAGTGACTGAAGTTAGGATAAGTGAATTAGTAGAGAGCACAAAAAGCCCCAGCCTAGTGAACTTCTTAACCGTATACTTAACTTTTGAGAGCGTAAATATTTCCAGTGCTGTCAGTAAAGTTGTGCTGTTTTGGTTTAGGACTTAAATCATTGGTGGAATGCAGAGGAATAATTTTGAGGATGATTTGGAAGGAAGAAAGTGGCGGATACTAGGAGCCTGATCCAAACCCTGGTGAACTCAGTTGAAAGTATTGCTATGGCCTTTTTTGTGCTTTGCATTCAGACCCTTGATGCATGTGAAAAGAGATGTTTTAAGTTAAAGGAGCAGTGTGCGAATAAGGGAATCAGGAAGCGTGTAGTGAGATGTAAAGAAAGCAGTGTGCTATGAATTGTGTGTAGAGCGCAGAGGTGAGGTGGAGGACCATGGAGCTGTAATGTAGATTTGTAGCTCGTTATTGCTCATCCTTGTTAAAGAACAGTAGTCCTCAACCTTCCCATCCCACAGGCCAGATGAGTGGCATGGGGGCTGGTCTGTTGTTGGCAGCTGGAGAGTGAAAATGAATGCTGCCATCATTCCCCCTGCTGCCAAATTTTTGGACTTGTGGGAGTCTTGTGGGTCAGATGATATGGCTTTGCAGGCTGGATCCAGCCTTTGGACAGAATAATTACTTGTTTTCACATTCTAATGCAGTCTTCTATTTGCTTTTCCCCCCCAGTATCCTCTTATATATGGGCTGATATTTGCGGTCTGCTGGTGTTCTCTGGTGTGCTTCAGTCGAATTTACATGGGCATGCATTCAATCCTGGTAAGAGAACTGTGGCAAGTTAAAGCTGTTTTACAAAATGACAACACTGTACTACTTTTTTATGCTTCCTTCTTAAGGCAATGGTATGTGTGTGGATTCAATGGGATTTCTAGCATCTGATAACTGTGTATTGATCTAATTCAACAAAATTATTACATAACTTCTTAGAAAATAGAAAAACTGCAGAATCAACAAAGATTTACCTAGTAACTATATAAAAGTATATAGGAAAAACAGCCCTTTACAACTCTCTAAAATGCTGTGGGCATTAATTAACAAAAAGCAAGCTAATTTCCTGATAAGGTTAGTTATCAGTTAAACTCCTCGTAGAATTCCATTTTGCTGCCTGTAGTTGTTTCATCCATCACTCCGTAAAAATCAGTAGGCTTGGCTTCTTTGAACCCATCACCTGAATCAAAATGTTCATAGTCTTGTAACTTAAGTAATTCATTCTGATTCTATTGCAATAATACCAAGATAACAAGGGTCAGGTAGCCTCAGTCCATCTTTGTATAAAGATGCTATAAAGATAGACTTCGTACCCAAAATTTATCTATTATAAAATGCAGATGGAGGAGACAAATGGGGAGAGGATACTGTGAATGATCAAATTATTACAAGATGTGTAGAAGTGTTTTTTTTTCTTGGAATTCGGAGTATCATTTAAAACATCTCTTTCCAACAGGGTCTTTAAACAGCTGCTACTTTGGGTATGGATTATAAAAACATTGTTACTTGTGTTGCATAGCCTGAAGGGGGATAAATTATGCTGAGCTATGTTGAAATTGCCTTTAGTGTTGGTGAACAGAATAATTAAAGTGTAACTCAAAATCTGTGTTATTAATTGAATCTTCCTTTTTAAGCTAAAAGGAAATGGAAATCAATATTGAATGAGAAATGACAAAATAAGTACAGAAAGCAGTAACACTTTAATTTCTGTATTTTACAGTACTCTTCAAAATGTCAAGACTTAGAAATATGTAAAGGTCTCATTCATATCTTTACCAGTGCAGACACTATTTGCTCCAACTGTCTTGATGCTTTGCCCATGCTAGCTCTGTGAGTTAATGATAAGGCTTGCATGGATCAAAAAATACTAATAATTTTATTTCATTCTAGATAGTATGCTAATACAGCACAAAGGCTGAAACTTGTAGTTTCTAAACTGGCAGTTAGCAATAAGATTGCATATAAATGGTAAGACAGACATGGTGCCCCAAAGCTTAAACGTTTAAACTTCATGAGGCAAAAAGGAAGAACATTCCAAGTTAAGAAACCTGCATAACTAGAGAGCAGAGTACTTAGTTTAGTCACTGCTTCATTTTCCCTGTCCTTGTTCATATTGAGCCTCATGTTCATTACTGCCTCCTCTCCACTGCAGTTTTCCTCTTTGCTCTTGTTCACAATTCTTTCTCTCTTTAGCTGTGTGTATAAAAGAAAAGTGCTGGTGAAAGTTCTGGAGTCCCTCCCTTCATCTCCTTGATCCTGCATCTCCTAAAATGGGAGCTTTTCTAGCCAGACTCTCCTGTTGACATCAGACATTGATCTCTGGTCCCTTTCACCAGATGATACAGAAATGCTTGCAGCTTGTGGGGAGTGCTGCCAAGTATCTAAACCATAAAGAACTTAATGAGCAAAAAATGAACACCCAGGAGAGGTTCATTTTTTGCTCATAAAGGTTTCTGATTCAGACAGCAATTCATGGGGCATAGATATAACATGTTCTGTGCACGGGAGACTAAAGTTTGAGAGAGCTACAAAAGTAAAAACTGTCACAACCCAAGGGTGTGATTTTTTTTGTTTTTGTGTGTGCTTTGGCACCACTGAATTATTTTCCCGCCAATTCGTAGCTTTCTTTGCAGCGTGCATTTCTTCTTTGCAGCCAAGAAATGCACGTTGCAAGGAGTTCCCGCCATTTGTATTCTAATTCGAGCCCCGTTATTGGCTTGCGTGAAATTATTCACACGTGGCGGCTAGTGATTGGTTTGTTAGCCGTATAAAAAGCTTGGGTGGTTTCCGCCCAAGTTGGAGAACTCCGAGGAGAACCCCCGCAAGGGAGGACTCCACGAACATCAGGAGGAGGAGACTTCACATCTCGTGAAGATCTCTAAGCGCTGCGGAGCCTATTGGACCCAGCGTGAATATCAAGAAGGCAACAGGGGTCTGATCAGCCTCTCGCCTCTCCCCGTCGCCGCCTGATCCCTCGACATACCCTTCCCTGCGCGCAAGTTCCACGGAGCCTAGCAAACTTCGTGTGAGTCTATTCAGAGCTCTTTGTTTCGAGTACTTTCTTCGGTTGGCGCAACGGGCTCGCTGTTTAGAGCCTCCATCCAGATGGGCTAGAAGAATGTTCACGGGAAGGAACTCTAGTCCACCTCTCTTCTTTTCTATCTGTAACTGTAACTCAAGCAAGTTTTCCTGCCTGCACCGCGACCATCTTTGGTGTAAGTAAACAATCTTGAATCAACCATTACGCGTCCGTGCCTAATTCTAACGTGTCGCCCGTTCTCTCCGACCCAGTGTGCCCAGGCTGCTGGCCACAGCCCGCGCGGAGCACAAAAAGGGCCCGGATCGCTCCCGGCCCGCACAAAAACCTTCATGTATAAGCATAGCATCAACAAAGTAGGTTGTTGCCTACAAAAGCTCATGCCTCTGAACCAGTTAATCTCTAAGGTGCCATGTTGCCCTACTTTCTGCCTGACTTCAAACTAACACAGCTAACCCCCCCTCCCCCCCACTTCATCCTGGAAGGTGGTTAATGATTGTAAGACCAGAAGAGATCATTGTACAGTCATTTAGTCCTACCTACTATATGAAAGAGATCAAAAGATGTATGGAAACTAATAAACTAGAACATACCTTGTAGAAAAAAAATCTGGTTTGATTTAAAAATCACCCTGTGAATAGTGAATTGCTATAATTTCTGCTAAGTAATTCCACTGGCTGATTGTCATCACTGTTAAAAAATTTGTGCAAGTTTACAGTCTGAATTGTCTAGCTTCAGCTTCCTGTGATCTGCGTATACCTTTGTCTGCTAGACTATATTATTAGATTATGAGCTCTGTATTATCAAATTTTGGTTTCCCATGTGAGTACTTGAAGGTAGTGATTAGATTACCACTTAACTTTCTTCTTCATAAGCTAAGAAGATAGAGCTCTTTGGGCATGTCACAGTGAGATGTTTACTGCAGAGCTGCCTAATTAGCTGTGCAGTAAAACATCACCTCTACACATGTGTGGTGCTATTAAGACAGAGTAAACTAATTGGACAAATTAGAGAGAGTCCAGTGGAGGGCAACAAAAAAGGTGAGGGGGCTGGGGGATATGACTTATAAGGAAAGACTGAGGGAACTGGGCTTATTTATTCTAGAGAAGAGAAGACTGAGGGGGGATTTTATAGCAGCCTTCAACTATCTGAAGGGAGGTTTGAAAGAGGATGGAGCTGGACTGTTCTCAGTAGTGGCAGATGACAGAACAAGTCTCAACTTGCAGCTAGGGAAGTTTAGGCTGGATATTAGGAAGAATATTCTCACTAGGAGGGTAGTAAAATGCTGGGACAGGTTACCCAGAGAGGTGGTGGAAGCTCCATCCTTGGAGGTTTTCAAAACCCGGCTAGACAAAGCTTTGGCTGGGATGATGTAGTTGGGGATGGTCCTGCTGTGAGCAGGGGGTTGGACTAGATGTGACCTTCTGAGGTCTCTTCCAACCCTAACTTTCTATGGTTCTAATTAACTCTGTCCCAGGGTAGTAACGGTAAATACAGGTACTATTCTGCAGCAGAGTTCTTTACTCCACAGCAACGTATGCATGTTGCTGACAGTGCTGGCTAGGGCATGAGGATGCTTGACAGCTAGCCCCACACTGGAACACCATCATGCACCAGCCAGGCAAGAGCAACCGTGGGCTGGCAGGCTGACACACCCCATCCTCCTTCCCCCCGGGCTCCCTGCCAACTGGGGCTGCTCTGACCTGCCTCAACATGTTGCAGTCCCAGGTGCACGTTCAAATGGCGTGCCTGGAAGCAATAAATTTCAGCATATGTACTGGAGTTTTTTGCTTCTCTTTATTAACGTGTATAGATGTGCCCCTTGAGTCTTTAAATCTAAGTCATGTTTTCCAGTCATTTTTGTGGCTCTTCTCTGAACCCCCTCCAATTTTTCAACAGCTATGAGCTGGAGACAAAGTATGCATGCTGTGGCTGCTAGAAAAGATTTTTTGAGCAGAGAAGCTACTTGTTTCTAGGTCAAGTACAGGTTTCTATTTCAGCCCTACAGCATGAAAGCCATGTACTCTCGATTTGATGAAACAGTTGTAGAACTGAGCATCACTGGTATTCCACAGCATTGCAGCTCGGGCTGCCTCACTTAACTCCTGTCTAATGACTTCACATTCTCTGTGAACAAGGAAGTGATGCAACAGAAGTCTGCAGAACTTCCAGGCTTTGAAGACATGAAGAAACATAATACCAGAATCTGCAGACATCTTAACATCACTTATGTAAAAAGGCAGCCTGTCTACTGTAAGAGAATAAAATAAACACTTGAGTTCTGGCATAGTATATATAAGAGAGAATTTTCTAAGAAGAGTGTAGTCTCTGGTTACAGCCCTGGGGAAGTGCAGTTTTTAAGTGTTGAGGAAAGTAGACTCCAGATTGTATTTGCCTAAAGAAGGCATTGGCATCTGTCAATGCCAGTATCTTTCAAGTAAACTATATTATTAGTCCCCTTTGTCAATAATGTAACTAGCATAGCCCCAAAAGTAAGAGTGATGGATGGCATCAAGAACTGGATGATATATATCCACTAGTATAATTGGTTTTAAACTGGTTTAGAAAAGTAAGTAGTGGAGAGATGATGCACAGTCCTAAATCAGTATAACTTAGGCAGATCCAGCATACAAGTACCTGAGAGTCAGGTGAAATGATACTGATATAGGATACAATGGTATAAGTGTTGTCTATCTACATCCTCATACTGGCATAATCAAATGGTTAGCCAAATATAATTTCACGGTGCACAGTGGCCTTTCAATGGGCTGGGCACTCTGGCCCCCACTTCTCTATTATTTCAGGATCAGAGACAACATGTGTGACTTATCCAAATATGAAAGATGCAAAAGGATTTTGCTGCTGTCTTGTACTGGACCATCCTCCTTCAAACTTTATATCTGTTGATGATCAGGTAGATGCGTGTCCAAAATACAGTGTCATGCCTGTCATCAATGTTGAATTACCCACTAGACCACTGGGGTTGAGCTACATGTGAAGGAAGCAGACTTGCCAAAACCTGGCAAGAAGCAATCTGGTAGATATGTCAAAGATGCAGCCACAGATTGTTGCTGAGCTTGTAACAATGCATAGATGGAAGAGGAAGATGGGGTGGAGATGCAGAGCAACTATTTCCCTGCATGGAGTGGAGAACTGAAACTGCTGAAGACTGGAAGATAATAGAGCATTATTAAGAACAGAGCATCACTTGGGTTAAGTGGGCTCCCAGTGCACTGGCGGGGCAGAGTGAGCACTGCAAGGCAGATCTTTGTTGCATGATAATAATGTCTGCTAGTAGAAAGAAATGCAGTAGTGATCCTTTGCCAGTAGACAGTGCCTGGAGGCAGGTTTCCTACTACCTCACTCCTGGTCTTTCAATGGTAGCCCCCCCTGTACATTCCAACCAGCCATTGATGTTTTTTCTGTCCTTTAGCCTCCTACCTACCACCTTCCGGGAAGGGGGATGGACTGCCTAGTTCTTAGTGGTAGCTATTGAACCCAGTTTGTAGGAGTACAGCCAAAGATTAGCACACTGGTTCCTGCATTTCTGTCCCACAAAGATGCTTCATCTTGGGAGATCTCCCTTAATCCTTTGAGCACACATGGTGGACCTGTATTACATTGGAGGTCCTTGGTCCCCTAGAACCTACCCCAAAGGAAAAAAATGCTAAAATGTTGCCTGGCAATAGTCCCGGGTTCACACATCCTGTCCAGTTGACCTGTTTTTGTCCTCACTCCTGTAATTACGATGTAAAGGCACTTTATTTCCCTCGTTCAATAATTAACGTACTTTGTTTCTTTTTTTTTTTTTTTAAACAGCTGTTTAACACAACAGATCATTGTCTCTTCCATTTCTTTAAACAATTACAACTTTGGCCTTTTCTCACGCTCCACTCCTGCATTCTACCCTTGGTAAAAATGGTCATCCAAGGCTTCATTCAATATGTTTCCCTGACAGTTGTGGTTCTTAATAGCAAATGGCACTCTTCTCTTATACATTAGTGAATGCCTTTCAGCCTCTCAGGCCCTGTCTACATGTTACATTTAATGTTTTGATTAATGTGTTTAATCACAGCATCAATGACAAGGGTGCTACATGTGCATTCAATTTAAGGCACCATAAAATGGGAAACAAGACATAACATAATATATTAGAAAATTCTTATGGCTGGTTTATAACCTGGGCTGCAGTCAGGGGCTGGGTCAGGGTCAGTAACTAGCTCATTGTCAGGCCTGGCTCCAGGACTGCACCAAGTCTGGTTTGAGACCCCAGTGCACTTTTAGGGCCAGAGCTCACAATCAGCTGATTGCTGGCCCTGGCACCAGACTTAAGGTCACCCAGCTTTCAACTTGTCAGTGCAGAGGGAGCCTGGGATCATGATTCCAGACCCCCTCCACTGGCAAATATCATAGAATAATAGAAAAGTAGGGCTGGAAGGGACCTCAGGAGGTCTTCTAGTTCAACCCCTTGCCTAAAGCAGGATCATCCCAATCCAAACTGCCCTAAGAAAATCTGTATCTAACCTGTTACTAGAACTGCACAGGTGACCCCATCTCATAACCACAAGACATAACATCCTAACCTGCCAAGAGTAAATCAGGGGGACAGCAAATGAATGTGAAGATGATGGGGAGACTAGGGAGGAAGTGATCACACAGTGTGATAGGGAAAGCAAGAGGTCAGCAGAACTAAGGGCTCCTATACACATGCAGGAAGCCGGCCAGCGCATTGGAGTGGACTAGATTGAGTCAGCTGGAGCACAGAAATAAACATGCTTCAGCAGACTGTGGCATTACATGTATTAGCACCCCTGCATCAAAAAATGGTAGCAGGGCATTTTGAATTAGTTAGTTTAGAAGGTGCAACTCTGTTCTGCCTTCCGTCTGAATAAAATACCGGTAATGCTCCACTCCGTATAAATTCACCTGATTGTTTGGTTCTTTTGGGGCAGTTCATTTTCCTAATCATCGTTTTTACAAGGGAGTGATCTCAATCAGTCCTAACCCCTAAATTTCTAATACCTGTGAGTCTTGAATTAGTAATTTAGGAGGCTAATCCTATAGACTGTAAACCTGTCTCTGATTACACATTTATGCCAGTGAGTGATCTATGAGGAGGCATGCTATTCTTCACAATCATATGTTTAGGTGTGGCAAAACTAATTAAACTCATTGCGTGATTCTCATTTTCTATAGCTTTTTATACAGCTATGGTCATCTTCCTTTCCTGCTTGAGAATTTCAGTCACTTAGGCCACACATCATATATGTGATAAAAGATGTGATCTGTGAGGAACTGTTTCATTTATTAGTTTCTTTTTTTTTTTTTTAATTACTTAACTGTGTTACTGTTCATCTGATTCCTACCTGACAGTATATACAGTGGGTTTTACCTTTTTTGCAAAAGGTTAGGGGGAGGGTACAAATATCAGAACTCTGCAACTTCAGATGGGGCTTAAGACCACTTGATTGATGGCCACCTCCAAAAACTCTGCTTTCAAAGGCTTGTACATAGGTAATGTACAGTACTATTTCATTATATGCATGAAAATCTTTTTGCTGTTGGTCAAGACTGAAGCAAATTGGATTGAGTTGCTGCCAAAGATTTTCTAGTTGTTTTAACACCAATATTTTCAAATTACATAGTTATATTCTCTTGCAGGGTTCTTAGTAGAGGATTAAAGTGCTCATATCCAAGAAACAATATTGCTGCTACTAAGACAGCAGCAGCAGTTTTATTTTTGTTTAAATGTAAACCTAAGTGTCACTTTTTGTATGGCAGTCTGGGTTATCATTTCTCAGCCATTTCACATTTAAGAATGAGAGGTGCTTTATTATTATTCAGAATGGCTCCTGTAGGCTAATTTTGCATGACAATTAAAAAGAAAAAAAAGAATGCCATATAACTATTCAAAAGCAGAGTTCCTGCATCTCAGAGACAATCATAAAAGAATGAAGATTATTATCAAAAATGTTTTGTTAAACTACAGTAGAGTTCTTATTTTCCTTTTAAGATAAGCAGAGGTAGAAATTATTCTCCTTTCTTGAAGCATTGCTTACTTGGGGAAAAGCCATCTGGTTTGTACCATAATTTGGTAATGCCATAATAATCTGTACCATACTAAAGCCCTTCTGCAGAATCTTAGATTTCTTATACAGTGCATTACTAAGGGAGCAGGTACAGTCCCTTTACCTACAGTTAAACCAAAACTAGATTGTGAAAGGGTAAATGTAAGGAAATGATCAGAAATGCCAAAAATCTGGCAACATATTTAGCACAGAATAACTGAAATTCTTTATATGTTAATCTCATTTACAATAAGAAATAAATGCTTGAAATAACTATTTAAGAATTAAATCTGAAATGCAGTACGATACTATACGTTATACTAAACTACTGTATTCTTTTTATGTCCTTTCCACAGGATGTTATTGTTGGAGTTCTGTATGCTATTCTGATCTTGGTTGTCTTCCATCCAGCTGTGGACCTGATTGATAACTTCAACTTAACTTACAAATATGCGCCCCTTATTATCATCAGTCTTCATTTAGCCTTGGGGATTTTTTCCTTTACTCTTGACACATGGAGCACATCACGAGGAGATACTGCTCAGATTCTGGGCTGTGGTGCAGGAATTGCATGTGGCTCTCATGTTAATTACATGTTGGGTCTAACAGTAGATCCTTCACCAGATGCATTGCCTTTAGCTTTTTCCCCTTTCACTGTGACTTTGTTTGGAAAAGCCATATTGCGGTTATTGATTGGAGTAGTGTGTCTGTTGTTAACAAAAATAGCGATGAAAAAAGTCACCATCCCGTTGGCCTGCAAATTGTTCTGCATCCCGTGTGACAACATACGACAAGCAAGACAGCGCATGGAGGTTGAACTTCCCTATCGTTATATTACGTATGGAATGGTTGGGTTTTCTCTCATGTTTTTTGTTCCTTGTCTGTTTCTTTTGATTGGTCTATCTTGATGCAGACTTGATAACTGATGTGGGAAGAAGGGAGTAGTTGCTTATTAATGTAAGAAAAAGTGCACTAGTTTGCAGAGGGCAGACTTGTGAGCTTTGCTTTAGCAGGGTATTCTCTTAAACAGCAATAAATGATAGGCAGTGCATTTAAAGGAAATTGCACGTCTCTTATAATGTAGGGTCAAAAGCCAAATATCAGTTCCTTGGGAAAAGCTGTGCTCCATAAATGCGATGTCTAGTCTTATTGCTGTACTAGGGAGGTGGGGAGAGAAGGGGTAGGGAGATAGAAAAAGAGAGGGGGAGAGAGTGTGTGCGCAAGGGGGCGAGATTGTGTTTGTGTGCATATCTGATACACATCATCCTGTGCCTGTATGTTTTTGACATATTGACCACAAGTGAGTCTGACAGCTGATCTGAAAACTCCATTTATGCTCTGATTTGTCATTTCATAATAACTTATTTGCATTATTGGACCACAAGTTGCTCTAATGAAACACCGTATTTGTTTTCCTCTATCCTTCCCAAATCCCACCTCCAGGTGTTTAACCCAGCAAATATTTCTAATGGACCAAATTTAGTGATACTGGTTTTTAAAATCTGAAATTTCCTTCAATACCTTCTAAAGAGTGAAATGTTTAAGTTGGCATTGGTTCTAAACTATAAAATTCAGGTACTGTACTTAATGGCTTAATTGTGCCTTTCTGTTGCTAAATTAAGAAATGCCATATATACTGTGATAAAATAAAATTAGCTGTCATATTATAACTCCTAATTAGGAAAATATTTTAAAATACAGATGTCCACATACTAAAATGATTAAAGTTAACCACAGCTCACAATTTAGTCTGTGTTTAAAATTGAATAGATGGAATGAGCTGAGCAATGAATTACTAAAATGGAAAAGTTGTGAATGTGTAATTCCCTTTTGTAGGTATTTTTTATGTGCATTGCAAGTTACTGGTAGAGGATATATTTTTCTGCAAATTCTTTAATAGTTTATACAGTAGACAGAGATGTCCAGTAGGAAAAGAGTTAAAAACTATAAATAACAATGCTCACTCTAAAAAGAAATGGCCTCATTTATATTATTATTATTCGAAATTAGTTTAAAAGAGACACCATTTTTAGTGATATACTTAAACTCTCTTATCTTGGCTTCAGAAAAAAAACCTAGGAAGATTATATAGAATGTTATGCACAAACATCATATACTGTATTTAAAATGTGTTAATTGTTTCTACCTAGTTTTTCAGCGGCCAGAAGACAAAATATGTAATGATCAAAGAAATGTCTCGGTAATTATTCTATAATAGAAAACAAAAACAACATGGTCAATACATGTATGCTTGTTGGTCGTTTATGTGGTATCATTAAGATAGCAATGCACTTTTCAATTTGGTCACGTCCTCTTCCCTTTGATAAATATTCCAAGGATTGTATAATTCTCTGTATAATATCTGTGGTTTGACCTTTCACTTCGTCTGCATGAATGAGTTAACACGTCATCTAAGCAATGTTCCCACATGTCAAGACGTGCTGTTGTCATATTGCAGCATTCTGACAACGTGGATTTCTTGTTCCACGTCTGTATTTGCTTAAAAGCTTTCTGTTCTAGCTAAGCTACTTGCTACTGGTAACGTATCATTTCTTAAAAAATAACTTGGAATCAGAACCTCTGTATATGAGAAATGAACTCTAGATTCTGTTAATATGTAAAATAACCAAGTTGATGTGCTGTCTCTTTCCCATTAGAGCAGTCACTTTTTTATGGTACACTGATATTTGAAGATGTGAAAATAAAACTGCTCAAGGTGCATTTGGAATGCACTGATGGTTATGAATGTATTCCACAGAGTTGGTGTAGTGTGTTAAACCACTAACTTAAAAAAAAAAAAAAAAAGTTTAGGGTTTCTTCTAGTTTTCAGGAAATTTGGTTAGCTTGTTTCAGAACTCGTTTACAATTTTTTGTCTGTTCCTTTGTTACAGTTGAATGCTGAATATACAGTAGAAAGAAAGAAAATTAATTTCCAAGTTTTAGCAGGAAGGGTTTCACACTTGTATGGCTCTGCACTTATACATGCAGATTGAACAAATAACTGCAGAGAACATACAGAAGGCCTTTTTCTTAAAGCCCTGAGCAGATGATCATGTAATGTTGGTCTGATAAATGGTAGAAATGACATTTGTAGGACTTACATTTTGAATTCAGGGTTTCATTTCTTTAACTAGACTGGCCTTACTCCTCTAATAAAAAAAAGTTTAAATGGAAGTACAAAAGGGCAGATGTATAAGAGCTAATGTCCCAAGTAAAAATTTGCAGTCATGGTTTACGTCATGAGATTGTTAAAGCTGTGTTTTATAGCAGTTCTGCACTATCATGCCATGAATGCAAAAGAGAACTTATTGAGGAAGCTTCGTGTAGAGGACATATGCAGTCACTGCTTCCAAAAGAATAGGAAAGATTGTACTGTAGCTTATTCTGCTGTTACTCTATAGAATTTTTATATTTTTGTATTCTCCATTTGGTAGTTTCAGCATGTCGTGTCCCATGCACAGTGTAGTTTAGTCTTCTGGAAAAATGTACATCACAACGTTAATTTTTGCAGCACTTTCACAATCTTGTTTCTAGAACATAGCTATTTTTTCAATTTAATGTAAATTCCAATTTTTTAAAACTTTTCTTTCATGCTTTTAAGGGGTTTAGAATATGAAGCAGTTGAACAAAAGATGACCTGCAGTGTGAATGCTGTGTGGGAAGAGAGGCAAAAATACAAAGATTTAACAAAAAATGTTTTGTTTTGTGGCTATGCATGTTTTCATAAAGGTATATTTTTAAATCTGGTAATAAATACTTAAGCACTTTCATTGGCCTAAACTATTCTTTCAGTTGCTAGAGTTGAACATGAAAAATAAAGACTTATAAATGTACACATAAGCTGGTACCAAACTATTTATATAGACAAAGTATAATGCATCTAATGTAGCTTTAAAATGGTAGTTATTTAGCAGCCTTCTTAGAAGGGTAGTGCACTTGAAAGACCTGGAGGAACTTGTGTGAGAATTTGATTTATTCAAACATAACCATGCTAGCAAATGTTTTAATTCTATGTAGCTTATTCCTAAAAGGAGAAATAGTATTTCTTCAGAAAAGCAAGTCTGCATCCATTATTAAAAGCTATTACATTTGACTTATGTATTTGGTTACTGTATACAATTTTAATACAGTTGAAAATAATGGTAGTGATCTGTTTTTCATAAAACCAGAGAGACTACTGTTGATTCATGTGTCTGCCTTAAAGCATGGGAGCAGACTGATTTTTTTCTAAATGTCTCTTAAATAGGACTATTGCTTTATAAAGTGTACTCAATTTATTTCTTTGAAAAGGTTTTGTGTTTACAGTGTAACTACTACCTTTGCTTGTCTTAAAATTAGTTTTGAACTTTTTGTTTTATGCAGTCATGTTCAAGGCTCTCAAGCCTCTGATCACATTTGCCTTATTAATTGACTTGCAGATTAAAAAAAATAAAGCTATTGTAACAGTAAATTGGCATACCAAAGGAATTTACATTGTGGTTGTTTACTTGGACCTTTTCTTTGGGAATAAGTTTAGCTTTTTCCCCCTGAAAACAGGAAAGATACATTTTTAGTGATTGTATCTCTAACTTTACTTTGTCTGCCATAACAGTGTTAATTGTCCAGATTTTTAGAAATTATCCTGCCTTCTTTTTTTATATTATTTTAAAAGTTGCTTCTGGTTTTTTTTGTCCTTGGTGTATTTTTTTGTTTGTTTTTGTCCAGAGAGTGTCCTGTAACATTTGTAAACTAATGCAAAAACTCTATAACTATGAAAAGATTTGTCATTTTGAACTTGTAAATATCTAAGGGCTGTTAGTGGTTCAAGTTCACGAGACCAAGCCTTGCATGTTGCAAGTAAATACACTTGTTTTGCTAAAAGTTGTTTCCATTTTAGTATTTGCATTCTAAATACAGTAAGAAACAAGATTTTTATGACAAATATGTAAGGTATTGATATTAAATGAGAGGACATAGCTGTCCAGAACCTATTAATTTTGTTGGGAGTTTTGCATCCAATTCCCTACATACTGTGCTGAAAATGTACCCTTAAGGGCTTGCCCCTGCTCTGATGTGCAGACAAGCATCGCTGTATGTAAAGTGAAGTGGCTAACTTTGTCAGTTACAAAAATAATATTTGTTTTTTGAGATTAGGTGATTGCTGTTTATAGGATAATTTTTGTGCTCAGTCCAGTTGAACAGCTGGCTTTTAAAAATTGCTTAGGTCTGAAGATTTGTCTTTAATATCTGAACGAGTATTTTTACTTGCAAAACTGCACTGAAGCATTTCCTTCTTTCATATTGTCATCATGCTGAGTGACAAGCACAAGATCCCAGACTATATAATGAATTCCCAGATGGACTTCAAACATTTTGAAGCTTACTGCACTCTAGTTAGTCCTCAATTTTATTTTTAATATTAGAATGTTCAGGTGTTATGCACCATTGACATGTTCTAGAAGTAACTTGAAGGAATTTTGCCTTTCTTACAGCCATGCATGCCATTCAGAAGGTACCACTTCATTATTCAGAAACAGCCGAAGAGAGCTTAATTGGTCACTGTTATGGTTGCCACAAATAGCTGGACCTATTAGGAACTTGCTTTATGAATTTGTTTTATTAACTTGATTTATGAATTTTACCATTTCAGAAAATTAGCATCAATTCTTTCTTTATATTACTACTACTTGAATGAAAAGGAAAGAGGCAAGACAGCTTAATTTGCAAATAAAATTAGATTTGTATAATTGATGACATACTTATGAACTACTTTATGTAAATTGCAAATACTACAGGCTGCAGCCAATTCTTAAAATATTTTAAACTTCTTAAATATTTTAAAATGTATCTGTACTGGTCAGTAGCTGCAAATTTCCACAATACAGTCATTCAGTAATGGTTATAAAATATAAATTTGTCTCAATATTATTCGGTATCCATTGCAACAATGATAGACTCGGTGGGGACACACAAGTACAAATAAAGTATTTCAAATGCAATAAAGGTGTTTGTAAGATTGACAACAGAGAAAAGTTGTCATGTGAGATAATCTACATATACATGTGAAAAGCAGCTTACCAAGACTAATTGATAGCAAATTGTTGTTTGTTTTATAGTATCAGTGTGGCCTAATCAATGATTCTTTCTTTGAAAATGGAGAACACAATATTTAAGAATAGGAAAAAATTACTTTCAAGCAGTGTACTGTCGAGTGCAAGTCAGGGCCTTGTCAGCTTTAAGAGACTGAGTTAATACTTAAGTACTGTGGGCTTAAGTTCTGCTGCTGTTTTTCTTTTCGCTTTGGCATTCATTAAACTTTCAACAGTTTTCGTGCTAATGAAACATCAGGTTTCAACTAGATTATATCACCTAAAGGAGCACAATTGAAAAAGATAGATTAAGGAACTGAACTTAAAATGGTCTAATAAAATCTCTAAAACAGATTTTGAACTAAATTTGACATGCATGGTTGTGGTGCCCCAAATTGGCCTATTGATTTTGGTACACTAGAGCTGAAATGGGAATTTTATAAAATAAGTTAATTATTTGTGTCATCTTTCATGCACAGTTTTCTTCTGTTAATAAGTTTGCTAATGAAAGCAAATACTCATAAAATGTTTTATGGTGTTCTTCATTCTGTATAGCTGTCAGCCAAGTATCTTTCAATAAACAATAGTATATTTTTAAACTGCTGCCATCCTCTCAATCTTGAAGATAACTTTCTTTAAAAAAAAAAAAAAAAAAAGTACTTGCTAGCATATGTCCATAGTAATTTACAGGATTATGTAATGGTTACAGTATGATAATGTACAACTTAACCTTTAAAAATTAAAAAAAGTTTCAGATCTGTTAGTTGCATTATGGTTAATGCTTTTGCACCCACTGTACCCATTCTGCAGTCATCAGAACTAATATTCAAGCTTTAACTGATAATGGAAATATTTAATTATATCTACGGTGACTGGATAATAAACTGCTGTTGGATTCAAATATGTCTTATTGTTTTTATTCTTCCTGTGCTAGAGCAGAAATGTGGTTGAATGTGTAATGTAAAGGGTAAAAGTGGGAGGAGATATCAAGAGGGGTCCTGTAGGGCCAAATACAGACAGTCAAAAAGCCCGAGGCTGAATTGATTCAGTCTGTACAGGTTAGTCTAAGATGCACAGATTAAATTGAAACAAAAGTGAACAGGCAACCTTTCATTCTGGAAATGCAGCCACATGCCTGCGGTAGCTCAGGCTAGAAGCCAGAGGGCACTAGAACATAGGTCTCTGGCACACAGCTAGCATAGGCTGTATGTTCACTACTTCTTCCTGCTGCCCCTGAGGTCTCTGGATTTGCAGTCCACAATCACAGTAGCAGGACTCTGCAGAATTGCTTATCACTTCCTCTTCCTGCTTCCTCTGGGATTTGTAGTCCACAGTCACAACCAGCAGTAAGTTTGAGCTGGGGAAAGGGTGTTTAACCCCCCTCCTGTCCCCAGACACTAGCTGGGGTTTGCCTGGGGGGAGGGGAGACAGCCCCCTCCCTCCTCCCCATAGACTGGTCTGCATCCCCAGCTGGATTGCACCCCACATCCCTTTGTCAGCCATCCCTCACTGCCCCAGGTAGGGAGCATAGGGGTAGGGCGAGCCCTGCTCTCTGGAGCAAATATCACAGCCCAGCCCAGGGCTGCAAAACATGCTGGGATACTGGAGGACTCTGATTTAACTTGAACCAGGAAGGGGTCTGGGACAGAAGTTTCATAAACCAGTTTGACCCAAATCAGTTGAGGCTGGTACTACATTTAACCAGATTTATCTGAAACCAGTTTCAGCCGTTTATGTGCACTGAGCTTCTGTTTTGTTACAGGTGTAAACCAGTTTCTGATCACTTAAACTGGTTTATGTGTAACTTCTGGCCCCTAGCCAAGGAGTCTGTCCTGGGTCCAGTATTGCTCAATATCATCTTCATTAATGATTTGGATGATGGGATCAAGAGCATGCTCCAAAAATTTATGGATGACACCATGTTAGGTAGAATTGTGGAGACCTGGAGGGTGGGCATAGGATCCTGGATAGACTAGAAGTGGTCCACAATCAATGAGATTGAATGGGATGGAATAACTATGCACAAATACAGATTGGGGAATAACTGGCTTTGTTGCAGTACTTCAGAGAAGGACCTGCGGGTCATGGTAAACCATAAGATGAATACAAGCCAACAGTATGCTTTTTTTTTTTTTTTTAGCAGCAAAAAAGCAACAGCATCCTGGCTTGTATTAACAGGAGTGTCACTTGCAAATCAAAGGACATGATTCTTCTGCTCTATTCAGCACTGGAGAGGCCTTGCCTGGAGTATTGTACTCAGTTTTGGGCCCCACGCTTTGAGAAAGATGTGAACAGTTTGGACAAAGTCCAGCACACGGCAAGAAAAATGATTAGGGGCCTGCAAGACGAGACTTATTAAGAGGCTGAAAGGATTAGGGTTGTTTAGCCTGGAGAAGAGAAGACTGAGAAGGGGATTTGATAAGCCTTCAAATATCTGGAGGACTATTAGAGGATGGAAATGGGCTTTTCCCTGCAACTGTTGGTGGCCAGGACTAGCCTCAGCTGTAGCAGAGAAAATTTAGGCTGGAGATTAGGAGGAACTTTCTGATTATGAGTAGTCGAGGATTGGAACAGGCTACCTAGAGAAGCTGTAGAATCTCCGTGCTTGGAAACTTACAAAAGCAAGTTAGACACTTGGCTGGGATGGTATAACCATGGCTGATCCTGCCTTGAGCAGGCAGCTGGACTAGACCTCATAAGGTCCCTTCCAGCTCTATTTTCCTAAGATTCTAAGTTAACTTAAAAAAAAGCCCTATCTTTTAAGATATTAAACTGTGTTAGTTGGAGTTGCACAGCAGGTGGTGGCATGTGAAGAAGAAGCAGTACACCAGGTGATGGCAAGCCATAAAAGGCCTTTTTCATTCTGGGTGTGTGCGTTGCCCGAGGTGTCTACCAAACCTGCCTACTCACGTTCAGATTGCTTCATGAAGGGTGGCAATCCAGTTCTCACCTTGGAGGAGCTAGAACTTATATCCTATTCCTTTTTGTGTCTTTTTTTGTGAGCCTGAAGTAAAAACATGAAAAGTATACTAAGTACTACGTAAAAAAACAAACCACATTGTGGGGCTGTACACACATTCAGAGTCCCCTGGTTGGAGTTCTATACAGAGTCACTGCAAAGGCACATTCTCCAGTTAGAGGGCAATAGGGGGCTGCTCCTTCGTTCTACCTGCCCCCAGGACAACCTCTCAGTGGGCACGCCCACACATGCAAGTACGTGCACTTGCAGCAGCTCAAATAGAAGTGGTGCAAATTAGAGCCGGGGCTTTTTGCCTCAGTGCACGTGCTTGGACATGCACTTTGTTGTGGAGCAAATTGTGCCACTAGGGGCAAAATTACCCTGCCTGGCTCCTCCCCAATCTGCAGCCAGGGGGAGCTAGAGCCTGGGGCCAGCACCTGTGCTGTCCCCAGCAGTACAAAAAGCTGCCCTGTCCTGTCCCCAGCAGTATAAAAAGCCACCCTGGCAAGTAGCTCAGGTCTACTATCTCTCAGGAGCTTCTGGGGCCCAGCCAATTGGTACCTGGGGACACTACCCCTTGTGCCAACTGGAATACTGCAGCAGCCCTGACAGTTCCCTGCCCCCTCTACCCACTGCAGGGGTCTGGCAGTGGGGGCTGCTGCCTGGCTGTGACCTGCTGTGCACCTCTCCGAC